GTGCGAACGAGATGGGGCTGCATTCCGTACGGCGAGACCCACTGTCCTGCCTAACAAAAGGGCTTTTTTCATAGGCATCCTTGAACCGTCCTCGTCATCTTGATGCTCCTTTTTGACGCCAACTTTCATCTTCAACTGGGCAGGCTCTTCTTGCACGGTTGCATTGAGCTCCATCCTCTTCTCCCACCGTTCCCCTCCTCCTCTTTTTGTCCATGTCAGTGCCACGCGTAAATCTGAGCCTGTTGTTGATGGGTAATGAACTGACTGATTCTATGGAGTGGCGTTTGTATATAGAAATAGTAGCAAAGGCCTGTGGCAAAGGAACGCTAGTACCTCGACACACATATGATATGACTATGTGTACCAATCATCTATCCATCTGATCATTGCCACCTGTCCGTGCGTATGACACACCTCGAACACATATCAGCCTGAACGAGATTGGACTGCATTTCGTACGGCGAAATCCACTACCTTGGCTGCGGATGGAGATGGTATGTCGGCTGAGAGAGTAGAGGTGGCGTATGGAAGGCGTAAGAAAGGAGATGTTATGCCGGCTGAGTGAGTAGAGTGGCGTATGGGAAGGCGTGAGAAAGAAGATGGTATGCCGGCGTATGGGAAGGCGTGAGTATGGCGATGGTATGTCGGCTGAGTGAGTAGAGGTAGCGTAAGAAAGGTGTGGGAACTGAGATAGTATGCCGGCTGAATGAGTAGAGGTGGCGTATGGGAAGGCGTGAGTATGGCGATGGTATGTCGGCTGAGTGAGTAGAGGTAGCGTAAGAAAGGTGTGGGAACTGAGATAGTATGCCGGCTGAATGGGTAGAGTTGGCGTATGGAAGGTGTGAGAATAGTGAGGTGGTATGTGTATATGCCTCGTAAGGTACGAGTAGGGCTGTTGTGGAGGAGGTGGGTATTGAAACGCGTAGGGATCTTGAGGAGATGGAAGTGGTGTGAAGAGAGGCGGGGGGTGCTGGTAAGGAGGAGGTTGCGTTGGATTGATGTGGGTGCTTGTGAGTGTATGGTGTGGATTGCGCACGCTCTACGCGGCGTTAAGTTCACCGAGTGAATCTCGGGTTGTCGTTGATTGGATCCTTCCGATTGTCGTGATTATCCTAAAGCTTTCAGTGAATATCAAGATTGCCGGGAACTTGGATTTCACCAATAAGAGAGCTGGGAGTGAATAATGCTGAAGCAAGGCTGGGCTCGATACTGCGAGATTCACGTTATGTGGAAAGCACTGAGTCGGTTAGGCGCAGGCACTAGTTGCGACTGCATAGATTAAGGACAGTATTCTTGCTGCGACGAGATGTGTATTGGCCCTCGAGACGTAACTTTTGGTCCCAATAGCCCGGTTTTGATTTGGTCCAGGTTTATCGCCAGCCTCTTCACGCCTTTAAGGCTGAGATGGTACGTGCTCTTCAACATAACCCTGTCCGGTGAGAGTTATACCAACATGTGGGTTCCTTGGCGTATGCTACTTGGGGCATTCTCGTTGAACAGATATCGACGATGGTGACGTCACGGTTGATTTGATAAAGACTTGAAGAACCCGGGGGTGGGTAACTAGAGAAGGCGTTAGAGGGTAATCCCGATATCCGAGGTCTTAGGTTAAGATACCAGATGAAGTAGAAGAGTCGCCTTTACTAGCGCAGCCAATCCCTGCATGAGTGCCATTTATCAGGCGGGAAACCTCCAGAAGGCTAGAACCTAGGCTTTTGAAGTTGCGGGGTTGACCCTCTGTCAATGATTCTCACAAGAGCCGTTAGAAGGACTGCACCCCTTCTTGGCACCCTCGGGGGCGTCGCGTATAGCGAAGGCCCCCGTGAGCGACTCTGAATGTATTTAAATAGCGGCTGTAAACCTGATAGTGACCTGATTGGCGGTAGTACTCAGAGGAGTCTTCGGGTTGAGAGAAATCTCCTCGAGGGTGCCACGACAGGGAGCCTTCTCCTAGAGTGGCATAGCCTTCGGCTGGGACCCTGATGTTGCCTTCGGGCTTCATCCATGAATAACTACTACTACTACTGACCCCCCTCTCAGTATGGGTTGCCGTATTCGTCCCGTTAGCGCGACTTGTTAGCGCGATGTATGAAAACTGAGGTTAGTCTTACCCAGTATCGATCGTCGCACAAACAGCTCGTACATTCAAGAAGCACATCGCGATCAGCAAGGATCTGAATCAACATACCAGCGCTTTCTTGATCAATTAATCATGTCTTCAATCTCTCTGACTCATCTACCACTGGGCAACGTCCCTAAACTTGTGAGTACTGACCCCCCCTCGATGGCAGCCTGGGATTCCATCAATGCATGGTACCAAAAGGTCGTTGACAACAAAGGAGAGAAGAAGATACTTTTGACTGCAGCATCGTTCATCATGATGGCATGCAGATTCATTAATCTGCGTGTCCAGAAGATGACCATGGACGAGTCGGCTCCGCGCTTGGCGGCCGGCTTAGTTATCAAAAAGATGCAAGAAGTCTCGGGTGAGTTCAAGAAGATGCAGGCTGTCACTGATTGGCTTGGCCAGAGAAGCTCACTAAAGGCGTCGTTTGATGTTGGCACCGTAATGTATAACACTGTGTATCAACAGAAACATCATTATGGGGCAACTCAACCTTTATCAAAAGGGATATTGCTCCCAATCCACCGGGTCTGGACTTTGATCTCTCTCATGATTGAGATCGCGCCAGAGCCTCTGATTGTGAAGAGCAGGGATGTCAAGGATAAGCTGGCTTGGCTTCAAGCGCAATTGGACGAGTCGTCAAAGCGACTCGGTCAAGATAACGAGGATGACAAGAAGAGCAAGAAGGTGAAGACGGCGATCGGCGAGGTCTTAAAGCGCATCGAGGTCATCCATCCTGATGACCTTGAGATCATCAAGCGCTACGACAACAACATCGGTGTCGTTCCAACCGAAGGTTCTGTCAAGAACCGCTCGGTCGTTACGGCATATGATGTGTCGACGCTATCTCAAGGTCAGTGGGTTAATGATGTTGCCATCGATGCGCATTTGACGTTGGTCTGCCATACCTTCAATGGCCTTTTTCAAGGGGGTGACGAGCTTCCCAAGTCCCCCAAGTATCATGCATGGAGCGTTACAATGAGTGTTTACCTGAAAGGAAGGGTAGAAGCGTTTGAGGAGAAACATCTCCGACGAGAATGGCCTCCTGCACGTTTCCCTGACGCGGCGTTGGAAGATGTCTCTTGCCACATTTTCCCGATCCACGTCCGAAAGAACCATTGGATCTTGATGGTGCTTCAGAAGATGGGAGATGGGCAATGGAGCCTTTTTCATTACTCAAGCTTGGCTGGGTATGACAAAGACTTTGAGGAGCCTTGGCAGGTCATTTCCTCCTGGTTGCTCTTCAAGTCCAAGGGCACCCTCAACGTGACAAGAACTCGAGTCATAGTGCCTAAACCGCAACCAACCCAGGACAATGACAGAGATTGCGGGGTTTTCGTGTGCGGGATAGTGCGCTGGTCTCTTGCGGACTGGGACTTGTCGACGCTGACCCCAAGCATCATCCCAGAGTATCGTCGTCGCATGATGCTTGAGCTTGAGAATTGGAGACTTAGTACCAACAGACTTTAATTCTCTCGCCAGCATCTAGGACTCTAATTCGATCTCATTCGAAGCACAGTCGTGTTTTCACGTGGACCCAATGATGGTCCACTTTCATTTCTTGTATTTAGGATTCAATGATACTCAGTTTTCACCTCTTGTACTCCGGACTGAATGTTAGTTCAATCTCGTTTGCTGCTTGATAGGCTTGATGTTAGTTCGTCTTTATACAATCAAAATCTCAAAAAAGGAGCGCTACCTGAGTGAATCTTCGTAATAACGGCATCCGATTTGTCCCAGTAGACCCCACGATATCTGTAAGATATTGAAGTTCCTGTTGGGCGGGCACCAGGAGCTGAATTAGGGCTCTCCATCCATTGTTACGGCGACTCTCTCAATGATCTCTATCACTCATAATGTCTAGCTACTTCTGTCAATACTTGCCTGTGATACGTATGATCTAGCCGAATCTTCACGAGTGATAGGCTTTGAGGGTGGTGCGATAATACGATAGAGACGTGCTTGGACTACTTAAGACAGCACGAACATAGCTTGTCATCTCGTAATGATAGGTCCAGTACTCCAGTAGCTTGGCATATTGAGGTAATATGTCGGAATGTATATGTAAGCCTCAAAAAGAAGCAGTAAAGATCTCGGCGGACAAAAGCTTCCGTTTGAAAAAGCTTCTACGTTGAGTTAGGATGATCGCACTGTGTGCACTGGCATTGCGTCAATGTTCTATGAGCTGAAATCTTTAGGTCAATCCTTTGGGCTGGTAACGTTGTGCAAACCTGAATTTGGAAGGTCACAATAATTCCGTGAATCTCGTCCATGAAGTCGCGGCGTTAGGAACTTCAACAAAGTTCAGGGGTTTTTGGCAGAGAAATCGATATAAGAAAGATCTCAATAATTGAGATGGAGAAGAGAGGATGAAGTTGGATTTGAGAAGGGAGAAGGTCCGTGCGTTCGCCAGCGCTTGCGGAGATCCGCGGCGAGCTTGCGTGTGGCGCAGCACTCGCCTCTCCGCATTGACTTTTCTTTCCCAAAAGAGTCTTGGAGCACAGTTGTCTTGTCATCGTCTGGAGAGTAGCTGGGTACCTGTGTCAACACCTCTCTTGACTTGAAAACGTACACTCTTCCTTGGTCTTTCGATTGCTGTCAGACAACAGAAATTTCTAATTATCGAAAGCGAATACAGACACTCCTTGATCTAATAGAAAAAGCTATCGCCATGTGCATTATTATGCCTAGCTATCAAAGTTGAAAAAGAAAAAACTCTCTCATCATTCCTATGCCCGCAGGCACAGGTTGATGAAAGGGAAGAACCTGGCGGCATAATTATGCCGGGATATACACTGACAAAGCCGATCTTCAGTGGGCATTTTTATACCCGCATGAATCGCAGCAACAAGTTGAGTCGCAGCAACGAGATGCTCTAAGAACTCTTGTTGATACCAGAGTTCGAAAGAGGCATCCCGGCTACGACAACAGCGATTTGCTCTTTAAATAAATCTTGCTGGAATGCTTCCCAAACAATGGTGGTGCCGTTCATCGCAGCAGACTCGGAGAGATCCAGCATGCGCTCCTGACCGAATTGTTCTAACAAGCCAGCCATAATTCCCACGCGAGTCTGATCTTGAGGGAATTGAAACCCCGAAGGCGTTTCAAACACTTCATCGATTAAGCTCTGCGCGTCGATATTGCCAACTTCGATCACAATATCCTCCGGTGAGGGAGCTACACTTTCCATCCTTTCGTCGGTAAGAGGAGCTGCTTCGACAGTCTCCGCATTCTCGACGTTTCCCGCATTCTCGAACCTAGACTCATCCCAAAGGCTGACGAGTTCGAGATCGGCGGGGCCCGTCAATGGGTCTTGTGCAGGCTCCTCTTCCTCTTTTTTCTTTTCTTCTTCCTTCTTCTTTTGGCTGGCCCGCTTGTTGGCCCGTTGCCTCGCACTCTTTGAGATCGGCTTTTCGATACTAGCATCCTTGACTGCTAGAGGACCCTTCTCCTCTTTCTTGTCCTTGGAATGTTCTTTGCATCGTGGCTTTCGGTTGTCCCTAGGCCCACGGATCTGCTTTTGCATCTCGTGCCACTTAGCGGTGCCTTGCTTGTGGCCGCCGTAGCTGCTGGTGGGAAGACTAACGTTGCCGAAGGAGCCGACAGTACCTTGTCCCATTGATGGGGTTGGAAAGCTGCCGTAACCCTGACCGAAATGACCAGGGATCTGGTTGCTCCAGCCCTGGTCAAACCCCCATAGCCGCCGTACTCTCCAGAGTATGGGCCGCCGAAGCCGCTCACAGGACCGAATATCTGACCGCCCACGCCTGGTACCATGCCTGGTTCCATGCCCGGCGATCGTATCGCATTGTAGGGCTGCTGGTAGCCTACTTGCTGAGCATTGAAACCCGCGGTCAATCCTACCTGTGATGACCCCCGGCCAGCATTCCCAGGTACAGTATTAGGTACGGGATTTGAGAACCTACAAGTTCCCTTGTGAACTTTTCCACAAGTGCAACATTTCGGCCAGCACGCCCCCTCATGGCGATTGCCACATTTTTCACACCTTGAAGCTTTATCAAGCTTCTTATCATCACCGCCTGCACCGCCTGATGCTTGAGCTGACATCTATGCAAACGCGACTTGGTCAGTATCAGATTGCCTCATACGCCCGTTGATACGTAGGGGCAATTGCGACTACCTTTCTTGCTTCTTGGTTGAGCTGCTTGAAGGACTGTATTATCCGTACAAGCTTCAAGAATCAGATAATGTTGTGCTTTTGTGTGTGATGTCTGTGCGTGATGTTCCTGTGTGCTTGTTGATGACGACTTTTCGGATATCGCGCTAGCCTCCCGCGTTGATCAGTCAAACAATAAAGATTTGTCCTGATTGGCCGAGTGCGTTATCGATAGTGCGCGCGTAATTTACTTGCAGACGGACTTGCTTTGTAAAAATCCTCTTGGGAATAAGACATGTCCTGGCCATCAAGCCTCCAATACTCATGTCTTTAAGTATCGTTGGAGCAAATTGGGTCACCACTTTCTCTGCTAGGCAGCCTTTAGCCCAATCATGACTGCATTCGTGTTCCCAGCTTTAAAAGAAGCTTCTGCGTAGCTACGAGATATTTGACTACTTTTACGGCTCGCTCTGCTTTGGATATCTTTCTCCAATTTGCCCAGTGATAAGTCTCTTGACAGACTCGAACGCCGACCTAATCCGTCAGTAGCAAAGCCTTACCATAAACTTCCAGTGGCCCAATTCATGACCACAATGGCTTGGAAAAGAGTGTCGCAAGGCCTGGACTAGTGACACAAATACTACCAACTAAGAAATTCAAAAATCTTGAGAAATTTGAGAAGCCAATTGTGCTGATGTAGATTTTGGCCTTGCGGATGCTAGTGTCCGGTCAATATCGCATACTCTTTACAAGATTGTGTCTGTTGAGAGCAGTGCCTGCTGCTATTGCGTAGTGTTTGTAACATCACTGTTCGTTATAGGTGTACTGCAGTAGGTCCGAAGGGACCACTTGACTGTCCATCCTCCTGGATCTCTTCCGAGCTTCCAGTAATTTCAATCTCGATCAAGTCCCCAATAGTATTTCTCCTCAGCAGTAGATAAAGCTATTGTAATGATGATATGCCTGTAGCACTATGGAACCGTGAGACTTTTATAGAGGCAGTTCAAAGGCCTAGCTGTTGAGGCATCTAGATACGCGCTTGCCGCGCTTGCATGAGCTAGTGGATGAGGATCATCACAAAACGAAGTCCTCGCATTTCAACTTCTTCTGCAGCACAGCTACACACGCGACTTAAGTCATCATCTTTGCACACATAGTCAACAGACTTGGAAACGTACGAAGATTTCATTGAGAGACTTGAATCCGCACACGGTATGCATCCCTTCCCTTGCATCCCTGAAATTTCGCCTCCCAAGACGCGACAATAGTCGCATCGCGAACAAAGCTGCTTTCTCTTCTGTTCCAGCACCACATCCTTTGCTAATGAATAATTATAGATGTCTCAAACCAACGATACCGTCATGACCGCCGACGGCAACGCCGGTGGTAATGCTGGTAGCAATGGCAATGAGAACAGCGGTGGCAGTGGTGGTGCCCCTGGTGGCCAATGGCCGTCCTGCAGCCAATGTCAGGGTAGACATCGCCCTGGAGTGCCTTGCTGGCAGCCGTGTCCACGGTGCGGCATACGGCACCACAGGCGCAGTGTTTGCCCGACGGCGGATGCGCACCAGCAGCAGATTTCGGTGCTGCAGCAACAAAACGCGCAAATGGTTGCCGAAATGCAGCAATTGCGTGTTGAGGTGCAGGCGAGATCTGCACATGCTGCTGCCTACGGCTACGGCGGCCCTCCCCTCCCTCCTCAACTTCCTCAGCCCTTCTACCCCTCCTATCCCTCCTACCCCTCCTCACCCTGGCAGCCGCAGCAGGTCATGCCGCCCATGGGCATGGGCCGCTTCCCCTACCAAGGCGCGCAGTATCCGCCGTCGATGCCGCCTCCCGGTCCTTACGTTGGAGGTTCAGCAGTCGGTGTGCCGCAAGGCATGCCTTCTGATGCCTTCAATTGGTTCGGCGGTGGTTCTGAGCAGGCTTCCCGTAGGGGTGGCTTGCCCTGGAACAACCGAGGCCGGGGAGGTAGACGCCCGGGGAGGAAGGCCAATGAGAAGGATAAGAAGAAGAAGAAGGAAGATGAGAAGGAGAAGGAGAAGGAGAAGGAGAAGGAGAAAGAGAAGGAGAAGGAGAAAGAGAGAGATCCCTTGGCGCCTGAGCCATCAGGTGTTCAGAAGCCAGGGAAGAGCGCGGTGAGAAACGCGAGACGCCGCCAAAAGTTAAGGGCGAGGAAGGAGAAGAAGGACAATGTTGACGATGGTCGCGAGAGAGAGGAAGAAGGTGAGATGTCTGGGGTCGAGAACTCGACCTCAGGAACTCAACCTTCAGGCCCCTCTCAAAACCAGGAGTCAGAGCAGCAGATTGCCGTAGTCGGCACCGCCTCGGCTAATGAGGCTCAACCTTCAGGCTCCTCCCAGGGCCTGGAGGTAGGGCAGCATATCGCCGTGGTGGATACCGTCTTGGCTACCGAGGATCAAGCTCAGGTAGCTCTGCTCGTAGCAGACAACGCCAACGCAGCTGAGCCTCTCCCCTCTGTTCTTCCTCATCAAACAGCCGATGAAAGTGAACCGCCTCGGTCGTTGCTAGATATGGCGTTTGAGGGTTTTTTTGCACCCGGCGACAACTACGACTGCACCTTGGACGAGACGGAGTAGCAGTAGTAGCTATGAAGTCGTATAGATTGAATGCAATGCACGTTCACTTAAAATGTGTTCCATGTAGCTTACAGTGACCCTAACGTAGCAGCAGTAGCTCGCACTAGTACCATCTCCAACCTTGATAACGAGCATTTTACTATGATCAAGCGGTACCATTCCTGTTTCACTTAGTTATACCGTTGCCATCTTTCTTTATGCGTATTTGTTTTCTTTAACTCACCTCTCCCCATATTGACATGCGGTGACGGTCACGCTACACTCGTGTTTTACGAACTGTTGTTGGAACTTTGCGATCCGCGGAGAAGCGCAGCAAGCGCTTCGTACTTTCTGGCGGTGCGGCTAGAGAATCCCCTAAGGTAGCTAGCTCCGGGCTTCTAGGGCCGAACTGCGCATGTACCCGCAAGCGGCACTCCGCGGGGCCACCTGAGCCAGATCCGTAACTCGTGTAGCCCCCCGAGCACCCCAACCTCAAATCCCTTTACAATGCCTCAGGGAGACTCTGGACTATATTCTAGGGTCGCCGGCCCCGAAAAATTTGTTTTAGGGCCCCGGCGCACAAAATTTGGAATACTGGTATTAAAGCTATACCGAAGCAGCTCACGAACGAGCAAGAGCGCAAGATCCAGAGAGTATGGGCTACGGTACTTGGTCTGCCTTGTGAAGCAATCTACGTCGATGACAGCTTCTTCCAACTTGGTGGCGAGTCCGTCGCGGCAATCCGACTCACGGCTGCTGCTCGACGTATGGGATTGCAGTAATCCGTCTCAGACATCTTCCATCATCCACGCTTATCAAAGATGAGCGCTTCTGCAAAACTTGTCTACCAGCCTTCAACATATAATCCGACTCTGCCAGGAGGATTAGAAGTCTTCGAGCTCATTAGCCGGGAATGTAATGTCGATTATAAACGCCTTGAAGATGTATACAGATGCACATGGCCGTAGAATAATAGGATTGAGATGACTCAGCGTAAGCAGGGGCCAATGTTATATATTTTCGATTTCGGATCGAGCTTATAGTTAATGCTTTACTATATATATTAATCGATTATATAAAAGCGTGACAACAGATTGCGTTCGAGAACTCTATCTTCCGATCACGGATCGTACGTGCGAGCCACGAACCGGTATATTAATTATCGTCGACGAGAAAGTTAACTAATAAGAGATAGATTCGATTAAAGAGAATAAAACTACTAAAGTAAGAAGAATTTTAGAGAATATCGATTTATCTAAATAGCTTACTCGCGATTATAATAATTAAACTATTATTTAAGTAATTTTTATAATCGTAGATAAATATTAATACGCGAACTTCTTAATTTAACTTATATATATAATATAATATAAAGTTATATCATTAAGAGTTTAAGAGAAAATTAAGACTTTTTAAAAGTAAAAGATTAATTTAATTAAAAATATTAGAAAAATAATAATATATCGTCGTTAATCCTCCGTAATTGTTATTATTTTTAAGATAAAATTAAATATATATAAAATTAAAAATTGAGGTATAAGAGATTAAGAAGAAATTAAGGGTTTTTTTTTAGAAGTAAAAGGTTAATTTATTAAGGTATATTACGGCGTGCGGAAGGAGGGTGCAAAGTTTTCGAATTCCACGGTGTAATCGATAGACAGGTTGACAGAGTTGATAAGAGTTTGCGGTCTGAGGTGTTGCATTTGTACTCTTCTGCCGTCGATCTTGGGTTTCATCCCTAAACAAGATGTTTACACGAATAGATGTTTGTGCAATTTGAGTTTTAGATAGCGAAAAACTCTCTGTCGATATGGACTTGTTGATTCATTAATGCGTTGATACCGCTTCGGGTGTCCCTTTTTGTTCTAAGAAACGCAAAAAAAAAAACTCGCCCCACGCCCTTAGCAACGATCCAAAGGCTGGGACCCAGGAATACGCTGAAGAGTGTAGAGATCTATCTGCATTCTTACCTGCTCAACGTGTTGAAGATCATGGTCGATTGTCCAGGAGTGGAATCAATGCCCTGCTGAAGATCCTGCTTCCGTTCTTGGCTGCCTTTTTTCCTTCACAAGACCTAGCGGTCTGCCAAGTTGAACGGTAGCCCGTTTGGACTGTCGTCTAGGCGACAGGACCATGGCTCTTACACCAGGACTTTTGATTGCCTTGGTTGATAGTAGAGTCGTTTGGCTGCCGCTTCGCAGCGAAAGACACTTTACCCTAAAAGTACTCATGGCAGAGCACTATGCATTCCATACGGTAATCACAACCGAACGCATTCGACAACGCAGCCTCTTGGAAATCTATTGGTGCGATGCCAATAAGAATCAGCGCATCCGAGTTGATAAGAGCGAGCCCAGCAGAGTCGCAGACCAGTCAAATTTGGTTGGCATTTCTACCGGATTGCCTCGACGGGCGAATATCGTGCTCGAGCGCCGAAGTCGGTGAAAAGCTGTGGTAACTGGGGTATTTGGCCCCTGGAAGGATCGGCGGCTCATACGCGTCAGGGGCGTCATGATACAGTAGGTTTGGCCGACGGGGTTTTAGGGCTGTCGCCAGCTTCGGATCCAACGCAACGGCCGTCGGGATCATTGGTTCTCTATTGAGAGGGGAAATTGGGAGGGGATGTCTAAGTGCTCGCTGACTTTGTAAGAAATGCTTGGAGATCTGCGCGGTTGTAATCCTCCTTTTGAACCTTGAATGGCTCTTGCGGCCCAAGGGGGGTTCATACTATCAGTGAGACTCATGGAATTCTCCGTGACTCTTTACCCGTTGGATAGATTGAATCTGGTCTACCAGGGCAAGGCTTTCCATAGTTGTGACCGAGTTCTTCTAGCTTCTGAAGTTCTCCGAAATGAGGCTCGTGCTCCTCGCGCTTGTGCATTTCCCTTCGGCATGTGCTGATATGCAGGGTCAGAGCGTTCGTGGACGTGTCCATAAAGCATCCTTGACGCACCCTCGCCAGTCCTCAATCCTCCTTCATCACTTGTCTTTCTTCAATTCATATCCTTCCCATGCGTATTCTTGACTCTCGAGCTCCAAACCCTTCGATGCATCCTACGCGTCTCAACTTTCGTCTCTTACCGTTTGAAATGAAACTCCATATCGAGCTCGCCGGCAAGACACAATGTCGAGTCCCACTATAGGCTCCCCTGCTTATAACGATGAGTCCCTTGCGTGGAAAGCTCGTGACTACCGATCTCGTCACTGTCATTGTCCCTTTTCTTCTCGTCAGTGGCCGCATGTACACGAAATGCTTCATCACAAGAGCTCGCGGATGGGAACACTGTAGGGTTCTGCTATCTCACGTTTGCGTTCTTTGGGGCTAATCGTGTGCATGGGATAGGCAGCTCAGTTCTGGCATTGCTTATTTGCAGTCGCCCGTGTGGTAGGGGATTCCCTCGGTAGGTACCAGTTTGTTACTCAGCATCTGACGGGGCTCCTCCATCGCTAAGTTGCAAGTAGGCATATACCGATACGATCTCGAAGGCCTATTGGCATAATCCCTGAGTCGTATTTGGGTCCTTTAGTGATCGTTCGTACTCCCTACCAAGTCAATCCCGAATACTCCTTACCAACCTCAACAGCTTGTAGCAGTCGATGGCTTACCATACGTCGTCTCGATCACCCTGGCCAAATTCGGCATCCTCATCTTCCTCTACCACTTTTTCAGAACTTTTCCCCGAGATGCCGCTGCACGTCTTGGGCGGTTGGCGCCATCATGGCTGTTTGGTCTCTGATCACTGTCCTCTTGGTATGCTTCTCTTGCAAGCCCTTAGCCGCTTCGTTCAACTACAAGCTGCGTTATGCATCGACCACGGTGTGCAAACCGGAGTTGTATGATGTGGAGAACATCTTTGGTTATGGCAACATCTTTGTCGACTTTATGCTCCCGCTTATGCCGATGCCGTTGCTTTGGAAGCTGCATATGACCAGAGCAAAGAAGATTGGCGTTTCGATCGTCTTTGCCAACGGTGGTGTGTGAGTGGTACGCCGCTTCATCTTCGATCGTTCAGTCCGCTGATCAAAGGCAGCATTGCAGCTATTGCCATCGTAAGACAGTACATACTCTACACCTCGCCTGACGCCGCAGGCCCTAGCTGGGATATCGTACAGATCAAAGACTGGATGTAAGCCTGCTTTACTAATTTCCCACTTCCATTCCCCCTACAAGGCCCAAAACTCAATCACCACAACAGAACCATCGAAGTCAACCTCGCAATCATCTGCGGCTGCCTCCCCGGCCTGTAACACCTTTTCCGTAAAACCCCCTCCCTCATCCCTTTCCTTCCCTTCCACCTCCGCTCCAAATTCAGTGGCGGCCACAGCGCTATGGAGCACTCTTCATGGCCAAAGAGGCTCAGTGGGCCTCGGCATGCTGGCGGCCAGAAACTGGAAAAAGGCCAAAACAAGCAGCAGGCGCCGTTCGGCAATGCCTTGGCTTCAACCCAGAGCAAGTCTGTCGAAGCGGTCCTCTGCGGGGTATTGAATCACCCTGCACAAGTTGAAAGGAAGTGAGACATTTTGTCAACATCTCACTAAGTACCCCTTATTTAACAATTGACTTCTCGTATACACAATCTCCAAGGCAGATGTCAACAAGCCAGGCTTTTTTGTTGAGCTCTTGGCTCGATGAGAGCATGTGAGATACAGAAAACGGGAAAACGTCGTAGCCCATGCCAAGAAGCTGTGGTTGCGAGGGCCGAGTACGAATGATCAACCTAGCATTACCCCTGTCGGCGAGGTGGAGCGTGGCTCAGAGTATTGCTATTCTGGCACTCGGTTGAATCGCCCAATTCTTCTTCAGCTGGCACTTCTGGCTATTGAGGTGAGGGTTTGATTCCGTATATCATTAGTCTATCATTCCATATCTTGGCGAGCAAGCCTTCCATAAATTATGCGAATGACTTTGGACGAATGACCGTCACGACTGCTGAAGCCCTCCTGAATCATCTTGCAAGCACAGGCAATGCAGTAATCCCGTTGAAGAACGGCAAAATGTCCCTCGGCACCATAGTCCTGATATGCCAGCCATTGACCAGGCGCATTTTGGTCGACGGCCTGCAGCCACAGCCACAGGCCGTAGACGATCTGCTCATTAGCGTATGCAACGAACAGGGCTTGCTTCATATTGCTCTCGTAGGCATCGTAGTATTGATGATCGCATTCTCCCGTTACACATAGTATAGCCAAAGCCTTAGACGTAGTCCCAGGACTTGCGATAGCACAGATCTGATCCTTGACTAGAGCATTCTGCTACAGGATGATATCTTCGCCAGAGATTTCCAGACGAGTGGAAAAGGAGATGTTGAGGAACAAGTCTACAGGCGTATACGGACGAGCTATAATACCGCTTGAAGCAGCCATGATTTGAGTTTGCTTTTGGTGAGTGGAGTAGGCGTAGATTTTGTTCTGTCTCTCCCCGTTTGCAATGATGGCTCCAGGAAGAAGATGAACGAAGCAACATTGAAGATAGTGTTTGATGGAGGACCGCATTGTGGACGTACACGATCCCCTATTGTTGGAAGGCCAACACGGGAGTCCATGTCTGTCGTTCACCGATGCAGATGTCTATTGTAATCCTGCACACATCGGTCATGTCCTAGAAAACTATCTGGCCTGGCTGGTCTTTCGTGAGGACGTCTATCAGAGGATTCTTGAATACCAGACACTTCCTCCAGGATGAAGTGCTTTCCAACTATATGGGTCAAATCGTGGCAACAGATTTTTTTCTTATCTCAGCTACTTCTCTGCCAGGAGCATATCCGGCGCTGGGCCCAAAAGCACAAGATTGTTCCGCGGTGTCAAAGCATAGCCTTTGTTAATCTGTCACCCTCACATTAGTCCTCTCCTGCTTTGAGAGCTCTTAAAGATATAACTTACGTGTTCAAAATCCGTCGTGTCCCCGAATCCCTTCTGCCTGTACAGATTGACTAGCCACCTTTGGATCTTCGGATAATCATGCCTTATTATCTTCAGGTTACACTTGAACAGCGTATAGTAGGCTGTATCAAACCTCACAATCGTAGGATAAAGCCGCACATCTGCCTCCGTAAAATGCTCACCAAACAAATACTCTCCCTTGCTGTTAGCTAGAATATCCCCAACCTGATCCAATGCCTCGAAGACTTCGATACACGCTTTCTCATGATTCCCCTGCTCAGTCGCAAATCCGGTTTTGTAAACGCCCGTATTCAGCACAGAGTTCACCCACCCGTCCATCCCATCAATCTTCCCTCGCAAACCCTTTGAATAAAGCCCACCAACGACCCTGCCCTAGTTCCCCTCACTCATCTCCAACGGCAGCAGGGAATCGAACCCAGAACCCACTGTATATCATCCGCACAATCTCAGGACTCTCATTGTTAACAATCGTCTCCTCCTCCCTGTCACAAAGTACAGGCACCGAATAGCGCCCTTTGTACTCCGAATCCGCCTTCAGATACAGCTCGCTGAAGCGCTTGAAGCTGTAGATGGGGTCCTGAGCCGCGGTGCCGGCGGGGCCGCTGAACGACCAGCCGGTGGGGTGGAGCTTGTAGTCCATGCCTACGAGCTGGACTATGTGTTCGAGCCCCTTGAGCGAGCGGACTATGTTGGCACGGTGCGCGAAG